TTGTTCTAGACTGTTAAAATCTGTAACGTATTCTAGCTGTTAAGAGTGGCTTTGCGTTCTTCTGTTTTGGCTGCTTTATGCTTTAATTCAATGATAGCATATTGTCCCATGGAAAACAAGCTTTAGGAGCCAAGAGAACCTAAGACCAGGAGCAGAATTCAAACCTGCTATATCTGCAAGAGAAAGGACGGGGACCTTTTGTAACCTCGTCGGCTTGCTTTTCATCGACAGGGGAGTGACGGTTGGTAGTTGTGGTTGCATACTAGAGTGCTCGAGAGACGCATTTCGAAAAGAGTGCCCTGAACGCCTTCGGCTGCTCCACGGCAATACAAAGCTAATAGCGTACATGATTTGTTGTGACGTTGGGACTTTATCGACCACCCTCCCTACAGCCCGCTCCTCGCATCCTGCGATTTCCATCTCTTTAAAACATTTAAGATACACTTGGGTGATAAGCGACTCCCAACTGACGTGCAAGTTCAGTGTGTGGTTCTTCACTCTCCTAATAATAAGTAGGACAAGAATGAGGACTATATTGATAAGCAAGAGTAGTAGTACTTTACTAGCCTGTATTGGAATGAGACTGCAGAATTGTGTCCGTAAGACCTTTTGTTTCATCAAGATTTGATTCCCTCTCGTATTTAAAAACTGCCCAACTAAAAATCTGAACAAACACGGTACTGAGTTGAGAAGTAATGAGTACTATCAACTTCCTAATCTGTATTAGAATGAGAATGCAGAATTGCACCCGTAAGACCTTTTGTTGCCTCAAGATTTGATACTCTCGTATTAAAAATCTGGAACTAAAAATCTGGACAAGCATGGTGACTAGGTTGAGAAGAAATGAGTACTGATACTTTCCTAATCTGTATGACAATGACAATTGTGTCGTAAGACCTTCTGTTACCTCAAGGTTTGATTCTCTCTCATATTCAAAAACTGGCCAACCTTGAGTAACGATGCCATTGGTTGGGTAATTTCTGTCCTCCATTCGATGCGCAACGCGCCCCCAGAGCGCTTCCTCCACGGACGGGTGTCCAGCGGCCACCTGCGCCGCCCCGCAACCTCAAGTGGGCGGTGTGTGCGAGGGGGCGGGCAGCCTCTGCCTGGAGCTGGCCCGCGCCGTCGATCGATGTGGTGGCGTGCGGCCAAAGCTAAGCGCCACTCGCCCCTCACGCCACGCACGGCGGGCCTTTTTTCCCCCTCGGCGCCGTGTCGGGCCCAGCGACTTCGCCTCCTCCAAGCACCAGCACCCGCGACGGAGAAAATGAAAGCGACCCCTTGGGACGAAGCGCGGCGGTCAGTTACCGATAAAACCGGCGATTGGTCGAGTGGACTGAGCTCGATCTTGGCGCGGCGCTGCCTGTGTGATAAGTGGATTTTGCATTGCATTGCGTTTGTGGGCCCGTTTTTTCAGTAGTTTTTCCGATCAACACTAGGCGAATGCCGGAGCGGCACCTTAAGCGACGAGTCACGGATCGCGCGCGATCTTTCCTGCTTCTTCCTGGTCCTACCCTTACAACTTACACGCACTTATACCAACATGCACTACACTAACACACATGCCAGGAGAGCTTAGAGCTTCTCCCGACTGAATCGGTGCCCCGCTCGTGAAAGATACCTGATTGGGAGAAACCCAGCTAGCCGACGGTAGGTCGGCACCAGATATCGCCATCCAGCGGAAGAAGTTAACCGCCACCCCCGAGGGGAACATGCACTACACTTACGGGACGAATGACGTTATCGGTTGACGCGCCCGAAATCACTAAAAATCAATTAATCAATCGTGGGTCCGCTTCTCTGAACAGCGGTTACCTGATCACTTCCAGGCTCACGCTGGGGCGGCGGAGATACAACGGCTGCGCGCAATCATTTCCTCTTCCAAACCACAGACGCTAATGGCTATAGCAGTTGAAGAGCGCTGAAACCACAGTCAAATCAATGCCATCTCCATGTTTGTGAGGTCTAGGCATTCTAGGCGTACACTTGGAGGCTACCCGTCAATATTCTTCACAAGGAAAGGACTTCGAGAATGGAAGACTTTCATGTTCAATTCTATCTAAGGGGGAACTCGAGAAGGTGATTAATGAAATAGGAAATAATATTTTTCCTATGAGAAATAGCATCAAACATTCAGTTCAAAGTAGACACTCCAAGCACACCCCGTAAAGCTGTTGTGGGTTACATAGCTAAGCTGGCGTATGTTTTGGCGCATGGTCGATAATTTCTTTAACTGCATAAATCATCCACTTTACAATTGTAAGGAAAACGATTAAATAATATTCACTTTTCCCAGGTGGCGAAGGGACAAGAGTCGTGGGCATAAAAGAGAATTATCGCATGGTGACTTTCTGCGACGGTTTTATAAAACAAATTGCATGCGACTCGCGGTTTATGATACAACTGGGAGTGAGTATGCACGTAATCTAGTGATGTCTACAATACCTTCACTGTATTTTACTACATTCATTATAATAACAAGGTAGGTAAGATGCGCGGTAACATCAGTGGTGTACTTATGATGGATTGTAATGTCAACCTTAATAGAAGAGAAATACAGGATTAGGGAAGTGTCATGCTCCCACTAGAAGTGTCTCTGTTGAATCTTTACGTTGGCTTACATGGTATCAAATTTTTTGAAAGTCATATTTCAGTATCTTTTTTTTCCATCACATTGTAAACAGATTCCTTATAGAAAATTCCAACTTCAACTAATTTTAATGTATCTTTAAAATGCATGAACCTAACTGAGCATGAAGCGTTTTATGCTTCCACCGTACTCGTTTACAATCTCGAGTCCTCGATCAAGAGCAACGGCACGGCATCAGCTTTCATGACCTTCTGCATAAACTTGTGAAGTTTCTTCGGCTCAGCGGCGAGAGGTCGTTGCCCGAGGAAAGTGACCCGCTTCTCATTTGAATTAGTACAACAGGAAAAGAATTTGCATAAATGAAATCTCAATCGACCCAAAAAGAGGTCTGGCTCTGAGGTCTAAATCAGAACAATAAGGCGTGCAATAAATTATGGTTTTTATTCGCATCGTGTGTAGTTATAGTATATATATATATATATATATATATATATATATATATATATATATATATATATATATATAGAGAGAGAGAGAGAGAGAGAGAGAGAGAGAAATTAGTACTAATAAGTTGGTTGTTCATTGGGGTTCGTGAACTCATATAAAATCTGTCCATAGTTGTTTGCATTTTTCCAGAAGGGCCTATTAAAAAGTATTGGCAAGTTGTCTACTCTAGCATTCACGGCTCCAGCGAGTTTAATGTCACCAATATTTTGTATTTATTACTGTTTTGGGAATGCTCTCCCTTTTTAGTCATTCTGAGAGAATTACTGTATTCTCATTATAATATATTTGTGGAATTTAAAATTGTTTTTGTCGTTACATTTCAATCTCGCTTTTGCCCTTTCGTTACGGTTTACATTTCTATTAAATAAGGTCGTCAAACACTCAATTACGAAGTACTTTTGTCTCCTTTTTCATAATTCAATTATATTTATAGTTTATCCGCCATCTGTGACTTTCTTATTCAGATTTCTCTTCAGTGTATTCCACTCTATTTAATTCCGAATTCCTTTGAAAATCAGGAATCTTTTTGTGATCCTTCTTCGTAGATTGAGGTGCCATGACCGCGCTTCGCAGAATATGTTACAAATATTAAATAATAGCAATAACATGATTTTCAAAGAAAGGTAAAGTTACATCTATTTGAGGTAATTTGTAGAAAAAATCTAATAAATTTATCTGTTTTGACTATCAATAGATTAATATGTTTATTTCGGTTTACTAAGTGCTTGTTAAGTGGTCTTAACTGCTTTAGGCATCCACGCAATACATTTCGTTTTATGTTCTGTCAGTGACTCAATAAGAATTGATCTTCAGATATGAATTATCTAACGACACATTAAGTGAAATATCCTCATTTTTAATGCATGCCTTGATTGCAAGAAGATCTTCAAAGTGGTTTCTGTGCTCCGATAATAGATAGCCCTTATACACAGATTATTCAGCGAGATGAATGTGAGAGATAGGCAACACGATGATAATGTAGCAGAATGCGCGCCGGGAAAACTGGAGATTCTCGAAAAAATCTGCCGCAAAAAAATTCTTTGGGCTCCACAAATTCCGCATGGATCGACCTGCTTTTGACTCCGTAACCCAGAGATGAAAGTGGAATGGAATCGCTGCGGCACCATTTGTCGCTACTAACAATCTACTGTGCATCGTTATCATCATCATCATCATCATCATGCGTGTTCGACCTCCTTTGTTTCTTGCTCATTCAAAAGACGACATTCTAACTTATCACAACTGGTGAATAAAATGGGACTTGACCTTGAACCTGTCTGTGCCAAACATCAACTTCTCCGATGTTACTTGGCTGACTATGCACATGATGTACTCAATAGGTAGGAAGATTTTCTGAAATGGTTTAAATACCATTTTAATACAGGATTGATATTATTCATTGTCTCTTCGAAAAGTTTGTCACTTCATAATACAGTCAAACCCGTCGAAAGCGGAACATAGTAATAACAGAAAACTGCCTTCAGCGGAAAAATATATCGTTCTCATGCGTTCGATATATTAAATGCAAGTCATTTTACCTGCTGTTTCGGGAACGTGGAAACGGAGAGCCTTTTTCGTTTTATTTTGCTGTAGTTCTCTGTGAATGATGTCTTCGGAATAGAGGGAACTCCAGACATTGCAAGGTGGTGTGGAAGTGTTAGAGTGCAATGGAAGAATGACAGTCCACGAAATTTGTGAAAAAAGGAATTAAAGGAGACCCGGAAACGAAAGAATTAACGAACTCACATGGGAATGGTAAATCGCAACGCGGGCGTCGAACGTGCCGACTTCAGAAACCATTTTGCAAGCCAAGGCTATTGAAATCGCTCGTCAGGCAAGAGTGATTCAAACGGACAGTTGGAGTCGGTCATGAATAGACATCAAGTATCTTGCAAGGCTGTATATGGAGAAGGAAGGAGCAGAAATCACAATGCAGCAGGTGAGTGGCTGAGAAGAAATCCGGAGATCACATCTGGGTAGCAACGAGATGGATCATTTTTTAACAGCGCAACGAAACCGCGCATGTTTTGTTTAGAATGGTTTCAAAAATCTGATTCGTAATGCGAAATGATGTGTCGGTGGAAATTAAGTAGAAGCGTACTATTACTTTTCTGCATCGCAAAAGGGCAATATTACTTCAAGATCATTGGGTCATTGAAAGAGACAGAAACAACGTTCTGTAAAAATTGTATATCTGTGGACCTTTGATTAATGGGAAGCTAACAACAGAGCTGGGTGACAGCGCTATTATTACAAGGCTAGGGGGATTAAATGCACAAATTGTAAGCCAAATAGAAAAGTTCGTTAATTTGAACAAGGCAATTTCATTCACGTTTTCTAGCAAACAATAAAGTTGTTGGTTTTCTGGGAATACACCCTTGCTCACATCGTCGATAAGGTATTATTTATGCTTTAAATTCAGTACAGATATTTGCTTATAAATTCTTACATGTCAACCCAGAAGAATGATTCCATGGACAACGTTGACAAAATCTATCACTGTTTTAGACGCCGTGCATTTGATATCAAAATCATGCAAAGAATTGCACCCATCGATGGCCATAAATTGTTTCCCTAAAATAAGATTCTGCCTGTAGGATGGAAGCAATAGAATACAGAGCGTTGCTAAGAACAATTTTCAAGACATGTCAAATGAAGTGAACCTGTGGGAATTAACTGCAGAAGAATTTGTCGATTCTGAGGAGCAACTGCAAACGGAGAATGAACATTGCTGGGATGAGTAGTTGAGTCCCGGAACACCAAATTTACCGTTCGGGAAGGCGAAAGTTTGGAAGATGAGGAAGAGGAAGTGACGAATTTAGAAAATGCTATCAAAACATATCGAGATATGTTTGACTTCGCTTAGCATAAAGGACGCTTAAGGGTTTGAGTTTTGTCAGACAGTCTTTTAGGTCTGATTTTTGTTGAAATCCCTGATTTTTCGGGAAATACTAATTTTGGAGAAAATCGGCTAAACAGTTAAACCGCTGTCGTTGTCCACAGACGGACGTTTTGTCGTGAATGTTTTTTGATATCAAGGACCCCCAAAACGGGGTTGTGGCTACATCACATGTCACAGGATTTTTCTCTTAATTTAGCAACTGGATTTATCCACTTATTCACTCAGCATTTCCTAACTCTCTCTCTCTCTCTCTCTCTCTCTCTCTCTCTCTCTCTCTCTCTCCCTCTCTCCCTCTATCCCTCTCTCCCTCTATCCCTCTCTCTCTATCCCTCTATCCCTCTCTTCCTCCCTCCCTCTCTCTCTCCCTCTCTTTTTCCCTCTCCCTCTACTAAGTAAGCGGTGGAGAAAAAGTAAAAACGTCTACACACTCAAATTTTCATCAGGAAATTCATCTGCATTCCATTATAAAAGAGCATGTAATAATTCGTTTTACATTTCCGTAACTCGCGCGGCCACCGTAGCTTGGCCGTGCCCACGAGCAGGGATAGGAACGCGACTGCCAGCGCAGGTAAATCCCGAGTCCGCCGCCGCCGCCGAAGCTCTTGTTATTGTCCGATTTTCTTTAGAATGGGATGATTTGACAGCTAGCGCTGCCAACACAACTAACGATTCTGTGATCGTTGTGCTCTTGAACTTATTAGACTCTCCTTCCTCCATTCGTTCGTTTGCAGTTGGCTAACTTGTAAATAGTTACGACGCTCCCTGGCTGTGATGTCCTCGTCCGAAAATATAGTTCGCCACGAGAAATAATTGAAATTAGGAAGTATAAGCTTTGTGCTCTTCTGTAAAAATTCTTTCGTTTTATAAAAATTACATTGAAATTAGTTTTAATTTTTATGTGACAAGTATTATGTTTGTTTTAAAATCGAGTATTGAATGTGAGATGCGTACTCGTGACGGTGCCCGTGTTTACTTCTCTGAAGTACACGTGATGTTCACTTGTCTTGCGAACTGTCACTGTATCCCATTCTTAACAAAATCGTTCTACATGTGAGAGGCGGCGAGCGCGTGGAGGCGCCGTGCGGTCGCGGCGGGCGCTCGCGTGCGGGCCGCACGGGCGCGGGCGCGCTGGGGCTGTTTGCTTGCGGCCCAGGGCAGAGCAACGCCCACTCAGCGGCGGCGTTGGCGCGAAGAGCGACCACGACACCGCAGGCAAATCGCCCCTCCCCCACGCCCCCCGCCACTCCGAGCATGGCGGTATCGCATGTTATGCATTTCAAGCCTACGTGTTATCTGTCCCTGAATTCTTTTCCGTAGCCAATACAATCATTTTTTTAAAGAAATTATTTTTTTTCACTTTTTCTCATTTTACATACAAGTATGTAGTACAGAGACATTTATGGAATGCTGCGATTTGGATAATTTTGTATTGCAGGTCCCTAATACAGAAAAAGTATATTATTCCTATTCCGATATCTAGCAAACTGTTCCGATATCTTCTAACTGTACTGTACTCAGACCCCACAATTGGAGGGCCGTTGATAGCGAAAAACTGGTTTAGGGCAAAAAGTCTGCCTGTCCATCTGTCCGCCTATATGTCTGTGAACAACGCTAGAGACTAACCGTAAGCAGAATTTTCACCAAAATCCATATTCTCCAATCGATCTGACTGATGGTGCGGCCCATTGGATTTATAACCGATGTTTTAATTTGAGGGGTTCATGAAGCATCAAGGACATTTTCAATTTATCATAAACAATTCAGCAATTTTTTTAATTAAATTTGTCCTCGGATAGGGTAAAGAACGCTTATAAAACGGCAGGTTTCAGGTTCTTTGAAAGATATGAAATATTTTAGTTGAAGGAAGACGCCGAAAAAGTTTTGAACTTTTAAAATTTTCGAAAAATTAGGATTTTTAACGAAATTGCAACCTGCACCATTCTCTTAAACTTCCCTTACGCTATTCAACAACCAAATTTGATCAAAAACGATAAAGCTATTTTTTTGAAAATGACCCAGGAGCTTCATGTAAAGCGTTGCCCCCCACAATTAACGGATCAGTTAAATTCAAGGGACTCGCGACATGAGCCAGATCAATTGAGGAATATCAGTTTGGAAGAAATCAGCTGAAGAGTTTAGCCAATAGCGTTATTCACAGATGGACAGACAAATATTCTGCCGTCAATCTATTTTTTGGTATCAAGGACACACAAAACATGGATTTCACCATGTGTAAGTGAATTGCTTTCTCAATTTAGCAACTGAATATATCCTAGTTGCATTACCATGGCCCTGTAATAAGAATTTTTCTGCTGAATATTCGCGGTTTTTTCTTGCAGTATTACATAAGTGAGATGGGAAGAAATAAAGGGGAGATAGAGGGAGGAGAAGAAAGAGAATAAAGAGGGAGATGGAAAAGAGAGAGCATGGAAAAGGAGAGAGAAAAGTGATGGTTAAAAGAGAGACAGAGAAAGAGAGGGGAAATAGAGTGTAAGGGAAAGAGAGAAGGAAAAGGGCAAGGGAAAAAGAGGGGAGAAAGGAAGAAAGGGAAAATAGGGGGATCATAGGTTGAATGATGATGAAAAGTGATGGAAAAAAGAGAGAATGAAAAAAGAGAGAGGGAGAAAGAGAGGCGAAGAAAGACTGGGGGAGAAGAGAAGACATGGGAAAAGGAGAGAGGAGGAAGAAAAATGGAGAAAGGGGAAAGGAGAGAGGTGGGAAGAAATAGATAGGGGAATGAACGAGAATACAGAGGTAGAGAGGGAAAAGAGAAAGACGAAAATAGTGAGCGAGTAGGAAAAATAGAGGGAAAGAGAGGGGGGAAGAAAAGCTAATAATAGAGAGAGAGAGAGGGAAATGAGAGAATGTAAGAAGATATAGGTGAAAATAGACAGGGTAAAAGAGAGAAAGGGGAAAATCTATGAGGGAAAGGGACAGGGAAAGAGGGAAAGAGGGAAAGGGGTAAACGAGAGAAGGAAAACTGTCAGAGGAAAAGAGAGAGAGAAAGGGAAAAGAGAAAGCGAGAAAAAGAAAGAAAAATAGAGAGGGAAAAGAGAAGGGTCAAAAGAGATAAAGGGGAAAGAGGAATGGCAAAAGTAAGAGGGGAAAGATAGATGGAAAATGAGGGGAAAAGAAAAGGGACAGAAAGAGGGGAAAAGAGAGGGTAAGAGAGAAAAGAGCACAAAGAAAAAGAGAGCAGGACGTCTGCCGGGTTCTGCTAGTTTTTGTCTAAATATTTATTTTTATAACTTCCATTTTAACTCTGTAAAGTGTGTTTTATATACAATATTCATTGCAGTGAATATCAATCACCTTTCCTGCATGTAAACTACGCATGACATTACAAGAAAAATCACGTTTGTTTCAAATGTTATGTCGATATATATTGCCGATGAGTCCATCATGAAAATTGGTAACAATGATGAACATATACTACACACGGGACAACTCCTGCAAGATACCATGGAGGTTACTTTTACAAAAGAGCCTGAAAAAAAGGATCCTCCCTTTTCGTGGCATGAAGGTGTATGCTTAGGGATTCTCAGAATTGTGTTTTAAGTCTGGTTCAACGAGAAAATTATCTCTATACAGTATTTGAGTAATTCCGAGTGTATGTATACGCATGCATGTGTAGATTCGTCACTCACGTTGAGACCACTTCCCGTACACCGATCGCGACATTGCATGAGATGTCATTCGCCACGTCTCGGTCTCTTAATGGGGAACTGTTAATCTGTTTTCGGAACGAAATAAAACTATGTAGGTGGCGTTGATTAAACTCCAATGCTCAAAGGCAATATTTACTGCAAACGGCATAATTTTCTTTCTTTCAGCATTGGCAACTCTTATATTACCATCCTTAAGTGAACAGTAGGATAACCATGTGAATCGCGCTGCACATTTCAGTTTAATTTTCATTCGTATTATCATACTTTTAAAAATTAATTTTTGAAAAACTACAAAAAGTATTGCCTTAGCACTTATTAAATTTGAAGAACTTTAAGTGAATACAGAGAAAAGAAATGTGAGTATTGCTAGAGTATTAATGAACGTTCTTACATTCGACTCTCCACTTTTACATTCTTAAGTGTAAAATACCTATTTTCAAATGAATGTGATTAAAAATTTATTCTTATAAAGTTAACTAACACGTTATTCACATAAACATTCAAAACAGTTCCCTTGTAATGTTGATGTAGATTCGCATACAAAACGATTAATAGAATGATTGCAGAAGTAGAAGTGGACACAAATTAGACTGAGTTTGTGGAATTTTTATTCTCTTCAAAAATTAGAGAAGAAAAGTAGGGAAGTGTTAAGCAAGTCTGAGGAAGAATAAAATGTAGTTGAAAATCATGTTGCCACAGAATTTTTGGAACTAATTGGGAATGACCTGCATTTTTGCATTTCGTATATATTAACAAAAAGTGTAAAAATGTAGCTGTACTAATATATAACTATTCGCATCATCAATACCTACAATATTTGTTACGACGATTATAATTTTGAAATTTCAATATTGCCAGTTCATATACCGTATAGAGTAATAAAACGATTGGATGTTGGGAACTTCTGAACGGGAGTATAACCAGCTACTACAATTCATTGGTATTACTCGCGCAACTTTTCTTGCACGAATACCTTGCTTCCCCCTCTCTGGTCCAATAAGCAGATGAAGGTGAATGCTCGCAGCGAGCACTGATGACAACATTCCAAACACAAAAACACAAATCCCCAAAAAATAAAGAAATGACCGAAGAAGGTAAAAATCTATCACTCTAACTCCTTAAAAGTTTGAACGCAAATTATTGAGAACGTTGTGAAGGCATGTCTGATCTCCAGAGATTGGCATTGCTTCATAAAATCTAGTGGCCGATTCCGTAACTAATACCCCCCCTCTACCCGCATTTCTTCAATCCTTCGTTCAAGAAAATTTGCGCGAGTCCAATGCCAGATACGGATATTACATATTTGAACTAAGCAAGGCATGAAAGAAATGAAGTATTAAAGAAATTTTCAACACATTTTTAAAACAGCGTGGCCGACGCCACATTTACTAGAACGTAAAGGAAGACATTCGATGGTGGAAAGATTCTACTCTTGGAAATTGTATTGAGCAGTAGTTACACCCGATTTACATTTATCTTTTGACAAACGATTTCGAAAATTTCGTGAATGCGCGCATGCGCACTGTGGCTTCTGAAACGCTGGGAACGACACAACGCGCGCATGCGCACAGCTGCTCTGCCGGCCTGCAAGACGCTGGGCGATGCGCCTCTTCGCTGAAACTCCAGAAATCGTTCGGCAAAGGGAAGCGAACAATTCTCGTCTAAGAGAAATCTCCCACACTGCGTGAAAACATGATGAGAAATAGTGGTACAATGGATTAACAGACTTTATATGCCACATTTACTGCATATTCTTAGACAAAGGAACGACCTTTTACTGGTATTGATATCAGGAAGAATAACTAAAACAATATTTTGCAAAGAAAAGATAACTTATGTTCTGTTCGGACATTCCCAGCTTAATTGATTTTCGAGGAAAAACTATAAACCAGACGTTTCTCGTCTTTTTATTGACTCTAACAAAAGAAGTCTAAAAAGTGTTCTTCTACACAATGGGAATGAACTTACTTTAGTTCCAATAATTCCTACTACATCTCTCCAGGAAACTTCGCAAAATTTGTATGATAGTAAAAAAAAATTAAAAATTGAATGAATACCGATTAATGATGTGATCTGACAGTGTGCAGTATTTTATTGACACAGCAGGGAGGGGACACCTAATTTCTTTGTTTCTTATGTGAAAGTGAGTCCAGAGTCAGAGATAGACAATGTGAAGTTACAGGTTGGCCAAAAAGGAACTTAGTGTCAAGAAAAAAAATTAAATGCCCACTTATTGATTCGCAAAAATGAAAACAATACCAACGTTGCTTATTATTAGAGTTGTGATTTACATGCAATTATTTTTATTTCTCATATATAATCATAATTTTATATTTTTGATCATTTACATATGTTTGTTGCATCACCCCTCATCTGTGGAAAGATGCCCGAAGTTTCTATTCCGTCAGCATGTAAACTGCTCTGATAGTTCTCTCGCCACTTGCTATGGTACATCATAAGATATGCTCTGAAGCAATGAGCTTCTGAGGTACAATAACTGCATCTTCCATTGTTTTCCTAAAAAAAAATGAGTGTTCTTAAAAAGTATGACCTTGACTAAATGTTTCTCGCTTGTAAGAATTTTTATGATTTCTGTATCTTTTCTGCTATAAACATATTTTCCACATTACCACTTTTTACCCATTTCCACTTTTTATTTATTTTCACACTTACACATTTCACTATTTCGTATATTTTCCTTTTTTAATTGCATGTATACGCGCATATTCCGCTGTTTTTTTGTATATAAATCACAGCCCTACTTATTAAACAAGAAATAATGATGTAATTTGTAAAAGCATTGAACAAAACTGGTTCTTCTTTTCAATATCCAATGAGAAAGTTGTCAGCAAGCAAAGTGAGAGAAGGCGTTTTTGATAGCCCACAGGTACACTAACTAATTAAAGACGCCCGTTTTAAAAGCAGAATGACTGACGTAGCATTTTCGGCAAGGAACTCATTCAAGGATGTAATCAACAATTTTGTAGGTGACGTGAAAGATGTCCAATAGGAACAGATTGCTAAAATAATGATCGACAAATTTAAGGCATTCAGATGTAAGATGAGCTACAAATTACATTTTCTCCATTCCCATCTTGAATACTTCCAGAAAACTTCCCGAGAAGCACCAAGTGAAGAACAGGGAGATAGATTTCATCAGGATATGAAACAGATGGAAATGAGGTACCAGGGACGATGGAACGTCTTCATGATGGCAGACTTGTTGGTGATAAGTAAGTGACATACTCGCCTGGACCATAAACGTCAGTCTACTCAGCGTTCATTTCCAACAAACCGGGGAAGAAAATAGTTTTGTGTGGTGTGTTTTAAATTTCATTCTTCATTATAAACTATTGTATCACTAAAATTAATATTTTAACATATTTTACAAAATTTTAAGAATTTCAAAATATGCTCACGAAAAAAACAACTTATTATTATATTTATTTTCTGTGTGATACGAAACCGTACGCGATAGGTAAAAATGGCCAACAGAACTGAAAACAGCACACGAAAATTAAGCTTACAGATATTTTAATCCCTGTTCTGGAGAACAAAAATTTAATTTCGAAGGTGTTATTAGTGCATATAAATCTGGCCCTGTTAACATGAGAAGATATTAATGATCGGTTGTTATCAAGGGAGTATCCACCACTTTCTTTCAGTTGTTAACTTCTGACTAATTATTACCTGTGATTGTATAAGTGAGAAGAAACTGAATATATACTTATTTTTAGTACTAGAAATTATGTCGCAAATTCTTAATGAAGGGTTCAATAGAAATCCTTAATTAGATAGACTTCAATAGAACTTCAATAGAAATCCTTAGAAATTGCTTAATTAGATAGACTTTAGGAAGTAACACATTCAACTAGTACCAAGAGAATACCAAGTATACAAATAAGCAGAAATAGAGTTTGCGCAACAATACATGTGAACTGCATGAACTTTTCGTAAGTCACGGGAAACACGGGGTTGAAATAGTGTGTGAGAGTGTGTGTGTGTGTGCGCCGCCGAGAAACTTCCTTCCTGGTATCGAACGCGAGCTTCTCGGTTTGGCGTTTGACCGCCTTTCCATTCTGCAATTGCGAACTTGCCCTCCGCGTGTCGGCGCCGCCGTCGCCTGCAGGAACGCGGGAGGGGAGGGGGGAGGGGAGGGGAGGGGAAGCGGAGCGGCCGCAGTGCGGCGCTCCACGCGGCTGCGCCAATCGACCGGCGGCGGCGGTGGGGGCGAGGCACCGCAGCGCGGGCGGGCGGGCGACTCCAGCGGCGCGCAAACCCAAGGGCGAGTGCGCAGGTCGGGCCCAACTGACGCCAGCGCCGCGCCTCCGGCCTCCGCCCGCCCACAGCAGTTTCACCTGCTCGACGCGACGCTAGCGAAGGCGCTTCTTACAAACATTTACTCTAATCTGTTCCTCACTTGCGGCTTCACTTGGCGGATGTAGCCGTTCGAACTAGTGGGGTTGCGATTCTCCTCGCTACTTCTGGCCTTATTTGTAACGGTTGCCTAATATTATGACATGACATCTTTTATCTTTCTTCGCAACACTGGAGTCATCATTTTAAAACTTAAAACAAAAAATATACAAATACAATAATACAAATTATACTTCGAATTAAAAGATAAATCTCTAGATTATAGCTAGTGAGTGTGGAAGGTGTAGCACTGGTTAAAAAAGCACTCGAACTTTGATAATCTATAACTCAAAATTACGAAAAAAACTACTTACATTTGAAAAACAAAGTGTACACACTAATTACAAAGATACTATTTTATACATTGGGTGCAACGAATTTCGTTTAATTCTCAAGGAACAAGACTACACAGTACAATTCAAAGAAAATTAAGCAACACAATATCTAAGGTTGTGGTATGTATAACTTAAAAAAGTGTTTTTAAATTTAACCACATTTTAATAAAGAAATTTTACTCACTAAATACTAATTTCATTAATTTGTTTCTTATCCCAATTAAGTTTTGTCCGAGTATTTGAAAAACAAACGGGGCAAAAAATATCTTAAAATACGTGTAAATTAAAATAAAATACAAAAAATCCTTTTTTCGGTATCACGAACCCTCAAAAACGAGTTGTTCACGGCGGCCCGAAAAAAACAACACATTCAACTCCATAAATAGGCGAAAATATGTGAGATTTGATAGCTTGAATATTTCTTCTTTGATGTTGGCGTTAAACAGTAACTTCAGTTGTGGAATATCTGAAGAATGGGATGTTATATTTACTTTCTTATTTGTGTCGCCTTAGAGCCTTATCACTTTCTCGTATAGGTACGTATACACGGAGTAATATACATATTATAGAGAAAGTTATGTAATGCTGCGGAAAATCGATTTCGAGATTTCAAATACACGTTTCGTGGTCTCCTGAAAAAGGGTTGATTTTTTAAATGTACGTCCGTCTGTCCGTGTCAGTTTGTCCGCCCGACTGTCTCTCCGTCCGTCTGTCCGTCTTTCTGTCCGTCCGTCTGTCCGTCCGTCTGTGTGTCCTTCTGTCCGTCAAATTTCGCATTTACAGTAATTCTAAAAAGACATTTTCTTAAAAACGGTTCAATTTTTTTTTTTTTTGCAAAAAAATCTCCATAGACGTCGGGGTGTTACTTTAAAATTCTTTACATAATATACTGTTCTACCATTAGGAATCAGAAAATTGAGAGATTAAAAAAAATGTACTTTTGCCGGTGATAAATGGCAGCCGGCATGGGGATTGGACAAAACCGAGACGAATGGATGGGCAGACGGACGTACATGACCCCTCTCGTATACGTACGTATACGAGAAAAAAATATTTAAAACATGAAAGAGGAACATTATGTACATTTTCTCCACGAACTCGTACGTTATTCTGCATTTTCAGGAAATTCATTTTCAGGAATACTTGAGGGGAGAGGAAGGACAAAAAACGCCATTAAATATTTCAAAAATAGAGTTTGAACACCCTTTTCTCCGCATGAGATCCTCGCGCCGATTCTCCCGCGACCCTCCCCGCTCCCACCCGCAGCCTCGGGCCCTCGACTCCGCCCACCGACTCCTCCCGGCCGACGCGGCGACCCTCAGGCACAAAGGACGCTTTTGTTCGCGATTTGGCCAAGTGGCCCTTTGAACCTTGGAGAACTAAGCACTCACTTCTCTACTTTAATTTTTTTGCATGCTAGAGCCACCCTTCTAAATTACTAACATGCTGCAGTCTGGCGAAGGCGATGATATCAGATCTCTTTCTCCCTGAACGGCCGCGTGAAATACGTGGTGAAAAATGGGGGCGGACTGTTAGAACCACAGGAATGAGAATGAGACGCTGAAGAGAATGTGAAAGAAGAAAACTTGAAGTGGAGGAAGAGGAAGTGGATTGGTCACAATATCAGAAGAAGAGGCTTATTAATACGTTGAGGTTCATTGGTGAGGAAGAATAAGAAGATGATGATGAAGATACCAAATTGAGAGAAGACACTACTCAGAGATAATGGCAACGAAATAATAAAAAGAAACAAAGAAGACACAGATCAGAGTATTAAGTCCAAGTGGAAACCTGCCAACAGGCAGAACATAATGATTATATGTCTTAATATTTTATCAACTATTTATTTTCAACATGATTACTAGTCCATGAAAAAGAAGTAAACAAGTTTATAATGTTAACCAGCTTTCTTTCACGCTGTGACCCGCAAAGACCGGAATGGTGTCGAGCCAGCAAACCTTAAGGACACTAAATAGCATCGAATGATATAACCCGCTCGCTTCGGCAGAGCCAACGAGCTCAATTCTGTGTGGAGGCACCGTGGTGCACACCAATACCACCAATACAGGAGCAGGTTATACAAAGAGTATTTTAAGCTTTTCTGTCTTTGCGTCGCCATGTGTGAAATCTAGATTGCGACTTGAGAAATTGGGCGATTGATCTCCAAGAAGATTCGAGTCATGCTGTTGTGCGAGCTGGGAATGTTTTTCAATATAATGCGGTCTACTACACATTCATGCCATTTCGCGAGCCGCATTGATAGTCAATTGTTGTGCAAATTAGACATCATTGAGAGGGCATAGGAATTTCATGCTGGCTACAGTGGCGGCAGGTACGGAGTTCTGTTAGTGCCAATTAGTGATGTGACATCGATAACAAAACAATGATGTTGGAAATGAAAACATCAACGTTAAAAAAACATCGATCAAAAAGCATCGATGCGATGTTTTAAACCTGGTTTAGTTATCTCTAAAATAAACATCGTGGGAAAGAAACACAATTTAATTTTACAGTGATTGTGTTTACCTTATAATGAGTATTAAACAGAAAACTAAAAATAGTAAGAACAAATAAAAATACACATCCTCAAAGCCTGAGCGCCCACAGTAATCTCAAGAGGTCACAGCTTCCCGAGTTCGTTGAAGGGTACGGCAAGAAGAGGGGAAGCCTTACGGCAAAAGGCTTATCTCCCACGCGTACGCCGCCTCTCACGAGAGAAACGAGACAAAGACTTGCGACGTACCAGAGGCATCGGAGTCGTCCTGAACGGTTCACAGTCTTGCTCATGAGAATAGTGCCATTAGTACACTCTACGGAACAGCCGTGAACTATGTGCCAGTTCGATTTAGGCACCCGGCTCATCTAAAGACACATACAAACCAACACAGCGTTCCTTTATACGGCATTAAATGGCATCGGGCAGTCAGTTTTTGCCAGTCAAGGTGGCTTCAGAGGTTTAGGAGGCGGCGGACAGATATCACTGCGTCCTATGCGTTTGAAGAGTATTGATAAGAGCATCGAATCACTGAACGTTCAATCAAATGAATTACTACAAAGAAAAATATTTTGAAGAAACGATGTTTTATTCACGTATTTGCGGAAAAAATAGTTTTTCTTTCCTTTTTGTTATTGTTGCTAATTTTGTGGTAGTGGCGCGATGGCACACTGGCACTACTGGCTGGCTACAATAGTGGAATCTAATCCATTTGAAATGAATTATATGTAGGTTTGAGGGATTACGTTGACGTTAGATTTTTTCATTTTAGACAAATAGGTTTTTTTGTTATTCATATTCCGAATAAATGATTGCTGAATCCGAGCTTGGTTGAAAATGCGTGCGTTAATCGACAAGATTTGCTTGATAATTTTATTTAGTCATTAGTTTTAAATATAAATCATGAAAATTTGCTGTATTTGAGGGTTACAATCAACAATTACATTGTTAATATACCAATGATAGGGATCTTTAAAAACTATTATTGTAGAAGTACATTACGCGTGAACTTATCTAAGAAAATCACTCTAGGAAGAAAACGTGATGAAAAGAATCTGTGTTGTGTTTGTGAGATTTCGCGTGTCAGTATTGTCGAAGGCTTTGATAAAATCTACAAATGCCAGATGAAACTCTTTTCTTCATTTCGATTCAAAGCGAATGTGTTGTCTCTCGTGAGCGCCATCTTGGCCGGGGGAGGGGAGAGCGGGAGGGGGAGGGAGCGGGCGCCGGCCTGTCGCGTGCAGAGCCCGTCACGCAGCTCAGGCCCTCGACCCCGCCCCACTCCCCGGACGTCTCTCCGCCCCTTGCTTTCTTCTTCAGCTCTCGATGTCCTCCTCTCTAGAGACGGTCTAATACAGACCCGCCGAAAACAGCGGCCCTAGGTCCATCGCAAGGGAATCACCGCGGCCAGGAGCAATATTTCTGCTTCGACTACGTTTCTTTGGGGAGAGATACTGGAACCATTCGTCCATCGTGATGTGATTTCTTCAAAATGTTCCTTCGGTCTTCTGGGCTATGACTACATATCCTATACAAAATACCGGATATTTTACACGAGGAGATAAATGTTTCTTCTTGACAACAAATACTTTCTCCTTTCCTGCAGGTTTTGGTTGCACGAATTTCAGTATATTGTAACGTATTAGCCAGCGTGCCTCGTGGCATCTATTTGGGGACGCTTGGTAAGGGATTAGTAAGAGGAAACTCCTCGCCACAGGAAGAAGGGTTTTTCCGTAAAGGGAAGAACGCGGAAACGGGAGACACAAGGCGTTGGAGTCTTCCGGCCTTTAGAAATTTTTCACTGTTAGAACAAGCGAGGGGGTGGCGTGACGTAGTAGGTCACGTGGGCCTCGACTATGTAACGGAGTGTACAGAGCCAGTGGGTGGGTTCTGGAGACAGTGGGAGAACCTCGTGGAGTTGCAAAAAACTTGGCGCCACGACGGTGCTGCGGCGGGCAGGGCTCGCGAGGTAAGTCACGTGTTGACGAGCCTGTGGAGGACTTTAGGTCTTTGGGACTCCGGCGGTCTCGGGGAGCGATGCTGTCAGTGCGCTGCTCCGAGGTGAGGTTTGGTTGAGTGCCACGATTCACGCCGATTCTCAATCGGATAAGATCGCTCCTGCATCGAGGCAAACCATCAGTTTGGTACGCCAGTCGGACTTTGTTGTCCTAGTGTTACATCTGTCACGGAAGCTAGGCTTCGTACGACGCTTCAGAAGAAGTGGCGAACTGCCACAATCGAAACCGATCTATTCAATGCGGGTTTGCGATCGCTCGCGATCAGGGATAAGTAGGTCTATCAGAGTAGGGTCTAAGAAGAAATTAATTGTATATATTTGTTGTGTTTTCTTTGTAAATAAATATATTTGTTATATGAAAGTTCTGTGTCTGTGTTCGCTATGAGTATCCATGTGCATGTGCTTTAAATAATGTCAAATAAAGTTTCTCGAAACCTCCATCGTTTTCTGTGAAAACTAGCTCAAAATCCTGCATTTTCAGGTACACTGTTTTCTCAAAAAACACTCTAAATGTTTTCTTCAAAATTTTCGATCGGATAATGCTAATTGCAGTCTTTATTATGACATAAAGTTCTCAACACATTTCTGGTCTACAATTAAGAAACTGAAAAATTAAGACAATATCAAGAAAATGTACTTTGGATGGGAATAGATAGCAGACGGCATGTTCGAGTAGCTAGCCAAGACAAAAAGAACTAGAAAACTAATACGGGGAAGTCTGTGCCATTGTGTAGCACCACTAGTTTACTTTCTCGCAACGGAGTAGAGAGAAATTTATGTAATTTCAACTTATTTTCTCCAAAAATTGATATCCTACTATCGATATGGCTATCGTCGCGGCCCCTTGAATTAGAAACCAATATTTTAATTTTAGGGTGTCCTTTACATGAAGCGAGTTTACATGAAATATTCAACAACAAAAAATGGCTTCGTTTTTTATTACATTTTGTTGTTGGATAGTTTAAGTAAAGGACGTTTAAGTGAATGGTGCAGGTATCATGTTCGTTAAAAACCCTGATTTTTCGAAAGTTGCTTCAAAAATTTCAATTTTTTTTGTCTTCCTACAACTAACATATTAAAGATAGATAATTTTTCTCTGAATAAAATCTGCCCAGTAAAGATGGGTTTTGAAATAAGGTACGAGCTGTTTTAGCACCACTAGTTTCCTCTCCTCTTCATCATCAACCTCTACACTTCATCTTTCTGCTTCTTGAAATATTTAATATATCTGTATACCTGCATATATCTATTTATTCGTTATAGAACACATTAATTTATAAATCCTCTCATTCATTTGATACTTTTCATAATTCTCCAAGCCACATTTCACTCGCTTCAGGATTCTTACCTTTGTTCACTTTCTTTTCAAACAGAACACTCCATTTGAGAAGCTGTGTTTTCAAATCAATTTTCAACATAATTTTCTCATCTTCATAAAAGCGACCTTTGCCGTTACAATTATTTTATGTCCCTTCTTATATTTCTATTACTTCGAGCTTTTGTACTTCTCATCCTAGATGTACGAGTTCAACTGTCCTAGCCTTTCTCCATTTACCCATATTTAACAAATACCGCAAATGCATCATAACCATGTTATTTATAGTGAAACGTATTAGAAACATAGGAATTCAACGATTTTTGTTTTTAAGACAATTTTATTGTATTTTTATACAAAACTCCTTATTAAATATAGAGAAAACAATGTATAACTCCGCCTTCAAATTATGGACTGCTATCGATAGTCGGCTATCGTGGTTTGAATTTTCAATTTATTTATCTCGAAATCTACCAAATAAGACCAGAGCGATATTCCCCTTCGTATGTAAACGATTCCGTGCGGGACCGTTCCGGATCACATCAGTTATAAACGATGCATGAATACGCTTCGTAAAAGCAAATATCTCACAAATATATTTCACGCGTGAATGATTATGTTCAGGGTCTATTTTCGTTTTAATTACAGTTCGTGCTCGACGCAGCAGTAAATTTTGCATCCGCACCTTCCCCTCCAGATGGTACGTTGAAATTCAAAACTTGCGATATAAACGTATGTAGCATATATTTGTAAACCCATTCGACATTGATCTATCAATTAATCTTACAATCGCTACGATTATTGATCAATTAGTAATCACACGACTGTTGATGAAGTAGCGCTGTTTTATATCACCTGTCTCCGAAACGCAACCGCTGCAACGCCCGTGTTTCGGGCGCCGCGAACAGGCAGTGGGATGTGAGCGGCATTTGCTGCGCATGCGTAGTTACAAAAAGCGACTGTAGTGTTAGGGCAGCGTGAACAAAATACCAATCACTACTTTATTTGTGCAAATTTTGTTACATTATGTTTTTAAATCAATTTTTATATACAAGTTCTTCTTTGAATGAATTTTTTTTAGAATAATTTATATATGTTAAAATATTATCTAAGTTTATTTCAACTTATTACTGAGTATAACATTTTTTTAACATGTAACTAATCTCGTCCCAGCATCATTTTTATTATCGTAAATACCAAGATGGTAAGCTCTGCTTGTTAGGCAATGCGGCTGACGCTTCCATCGGCAATGTCGAATCCAACAAATGACTTTACGCCCTGAGAACAGCAGCAGCATGCTAGTCGTAAGACTGGAACTTTGCCAGCTCGCAGAAAGCCGATATCTTACAAGATCTCTTTTTTCCCACTCATTACCAAAGTAAATGTAGGCGTTTTTGCTTGTAAAGTTGGCTCCTGCTATTACAGACTCAGATTGAAATAAAAGTGAATCTTATTACCTAAAATACAATATCTACAATTCAAAAAATTACACTGAAATATTCAAGGAAACTTTCGCACTTTATGTAATAGCTTCATAATATAAAATAAGAAAATTGATATATTATGTAATAGCATAGGATGTTATTCAAATCATGAATATAACACTTTTTATTCTTTCCTACCATTATTGCATAAAAGAAAAATCAGCTTAATGATCACCTACTCTTTTCTGAACACTTTTTAATACTAAACCATTCGAATTTTTCTTATTTTTGAGATGAGTCACGTAATTTGAATGATATTGATTTTCGTTGTTTCATTAAAAGAAAGCTACGTTCAGCAGCAATTAATCAGATTGGGGGAGGTGAGTTATGTTTTTTTAAGACTATGAATTAATTTATCTCAAAAATATTATATGAAACGTTATTTAATTTACTATTAAAATATATCTAATAACACAGGTCCACAGAGAAAAAACATCGGAAATGAAACCACTATGTCACACGCCCTCATACCAAATATGATATGTACATACTATTTCTCAAGCAAGTATCATTTTTGTGAGAAGATGGATATTGCGAATGTGCGAATTATCCCCCAAAATAAGGTCTTGCCTAGTCAACAATGCAAAATCATCAGAAAATAAAATAAATGAGATTTACTAAACGTCACGCCATGATTACAAATATGTGCTTAGATTTTCTCTATCACGAACAGTTTCTTCTCTTCAGTTTTCATTGGGTGACTCTGCGAATCCTCAACGGCAAAAGCGCTCCTTCGAAATCCAAAGCCGCTGCCACGAATACCAGATTTACTTTATATTGTACGTAGAATTAATCACTATTCTTTCCTGTTCACTATTCAGAATATATTGTATATTGTAGAATTTGCAAACCTTCTTCATTTTTTAGTTTTGGAAAATACGTACGACATGAAACGTATTTTGGGGTTTTTCAATTTTCCACAGTCTACATATATAATACTTTTCATTTGCAACTTTCCTACAGTACTTTTGTGCGATATTGAAGGGGTTTACCTGGCTGTCATTATTGTTATTCTTACTATTGCCCTTATAATAGGTTTTACCATTGGCCATTACGTTGCAGACCCCGCCGCCGCCGCCATGCCGAGCAAGTCGCAAGCCGCCACCGAGGGCGCCGACACGGGCGCGCCCAAGACGGAGCTGGAGGAGCTGCAGTTCAAATGCCGCGAGGTGGCGGACGAGGTGGGTGAGCTCTGGGCCATCGTCGAAGGCAATGCTAAACAAGTGTTCAGCTACATGACTAGAAAGCCGTGCACTTCGGAAGTTGGAGATACGTTTTCATTTGCCAGCAATATTTTTCGACTTCTTAACAGTGCAATGAGATACAATCTGCTCGCCGCAACACTCAAGCTGAGCTCTGAGTAGCCGACTTTTGTGCCAACTCAATATATTCATTTATGAAGATAAACTTATTGTTTTTTGGTATACATTTTTTCACATAATAAAAACAAATATTTAATGTAGACATAATTTGCACTCTTATATTTTTAATTTCACTCCGCTTTCTAAAAATAAGATTTAGAACCCTTTACAAGCCAGTCAGTGAAAGTAAAAAAAGCTTTAGTAGAACTTTAGAGCCTGTTCTAATTTTTTAGAAATATAATGACATTATTGAATTTCATAACTTCAAGTAACGCAATCGTCTGTAAATAGTCACAATTAAAAGATATATTTTCTTGAATACTATTATCGAAAACTGTAGCAAGGAGAGATTCTAGGAAACTTTCTTATGAACACCTGAAGGAGCATTAATGTTATTCGAAAACTGATTTCTAACTCAAACTCTCTTCTCCTGCCCCCAGGAAACTCATTAACCTCTGCCATCACTTGAGTATCGACTTCTGAACTCGATAGTTTTTCTGCGAGCACTCTGTGTGAGAGTATACCCAATACTTCGGCGAAATCAATTAAGAGCGCATCTGCTGCATCTCTCTCGCCAGTGCCAACAGCGTCAAATAGACACGCGAGGAGATAAACAATCGAATATGACGAGGAAAGCAGTTCCTAAACATGTTGGCCATGAAAAATCAAATTATCTGCTTCCAGTTGCATCTCACCCACCCAGAGGTTGAGTAATCCATTAATTTCACATGATGGATGTTGGTCGATAACAACACTTTTAACGGAATTCTTCAAAATATATACGGTCGCTGATTTTTACGTTCTCGAACTTAAGAAGGTATTTCTTAAGAAGAGAGTTATGTAACGCTACGAGAAAAAGCTTAGAATTTTTGGCACAAAAATTCTTATTGCCAACTCCTGGAAACGAAAAAGAAGATAAATCTAGTTGCTAAATTTAGAAAAAAAATCTTCTAACTCGTGATGTAGCCAGAATTAATGTTTTCTATGATTTCTTACAACCCCACTCGACACTTTCAAAGCAATGTAAAACGAATTTGGCGCACAAAATTTACCTTTCGAGAATTAATGTTGATATGGCATTCCAACGTAAAAATTAAGAAAATAATGAAATTAATATTTGAATGTTACAATGAACATCAAAATATTCTCTTCTGAATAAACGATCTTCTAAATGAACAAATTTCCTTAATTTTCACAATATTTTAGTTAATTCGTCGGTCCAATTTATTAGTATAATTTTACTGTAGGCCATAACTTTGTCGCTACGGGGTAGAGAGAAAGTTATGAAAAGCTGGGTGAAAAGGCAGCGAATTTTCGGCCGAAAAACTCTTATTACAGGGGTCTGGAAACGAAAAAGTAGATAAATCCAGATGCTAAATTCCGAAAAATATCCTCTATCATGTGATGTAACAAGAATTTATGTTTTTTGGGTCCTTGATACTGAAAAATAGATTGACGGCAAAACGACTTGTCTGTGAACAATGCTAGCGGCTAAACCGTTCCGCCAATTTTTTCGAAAATTGATATTCCCCTATCGATGAAGCTGATGTCGGGCCGAAAAATTGCTCTACCTTTTTCTATTAAATTTTGTTGTTGGGCAGTGTGTAGGACTTTTAAGAGAAAGGTGCAGGTCCCTTGTTTGCTAAAAACTCTGATTTTTCTAAAATTACAAAAGTTCAAAATTTTCTTCGAAGTTTTTTACAACTAAAATATTAAAGATAGAAATTTCTTCCTTACCGAAATCTGTCCCGTAAGTACTTTTTGCATAATTTTGTGTAAAATTACTGGCGAGAAAGTAAGTGCTGTTTTAGCACCACAAGTTTCATTATTTTTCTTTCTCTTGAAACATTTCTTGATCACGAAATCGCCTTCAAATTGTACCCTAACAATCGTTTAAACAAGACGAGCGCATGTTTTCAAAGTGGGTGTCTTTTTCAATTAAATACCAAGAATGAAACGGGCCACAGGGTTTTAAAAGCATAAAACAGATTTATATCTCTTGGCGCCTCCTTGTCAATTACTTAAGCTGACCTCGCAATAAAATTTTATGTTACATGCCAAAACGTCTTTTATTAATATATTTCCATGTAATTGAAAAAACAAACAACTTTTGAAAAAATTTACCCTCTATAATATTCCTTCATTTCTTAGCATAATCCGCACCAGACTCCAGACACGTTCATTTGAGCGTGATGTTATTTTTCTTACGTGAATTCTGCCGCCTTACTCATAGACGTCTACCACTCCGCCGCGTCTTGAAATCTGACTCCTTTGAGATCTTAAGTGGGGAAAAATTGTAGTCGTGAAGGCCTGGACATTAAGAGCATAGAATGCTTTGGAAGATTTTCGCCCCTTCACACAGTGTTTTCACTTTAATTAACCGCAACGCAAACACCATACCATCTCTGAACTAACATAACGTTGTCCCTATAATCTCGGCAGAACCGATTAATATTGAAGGCGTATTCATTACGTTCAGTCAAAAAGCGTCCGGGCTCAAGTTTTAGGACAGACATCACACATATTCGAATGTCCCCTCAGTCTTGCCTCCGCTTAGAGGGAAACTTGCTTTTTAATTGCGCCTGTATTGTTTTCGTATTTTAAGTATTCTATATTTTAATGTTTTAATCCTACCAAATCGATTAATCACTATATATTATTTTTAAATCATAATATCATTTATAAATGACAATAATGTCATTTTAACATTTTCTATTTCGAATACTTTAAAATTAATATCTGAGTCCATGATAACTGGATTCACATGATCAAGGTGACAAAGTTAAAGGATGCAAACTTCGCGGATAATGAGAATTTGGTTAATTGCTCTACGTTATTACAAATAAAAGGTGTCATAGCAAGGGGAAAAACACACCAGCGTGTTCTCGTATTAACAAAAAATAATTCTGTTACCGATTTGAGCCCAGAAGCATAGATTTCCATAGAAAGATTTTTTTTGATTTCGTCGCAGACTGTATATCACCACAATATAATGCTCATTTTCAAGACTCGACGCGTTAGCATAGATTTGGGAGATCATTAACGTCATATGTGAACAGCGAGTGCACTGTAAATTTGACAGTAGCCTGGCGGGCTTAACTTCTGACGGCCAATAGTCAGGCGAAATGACGACTGTCCTAAGTTGAACCATAATTCCGTCAATTAATAACTTTGCTCTTTGTTCGTTTGTATAAAAGAGGAGATTTTTCTTTGTCAGTATTTAGAACTCAAAACTCCGCAAAGCCTGACTAACTATTAGCCCAAAAATCGTGAAGAAACGGACGTGCAAAACGAAACCTTTCTTAGTAAAATTACATTTACATCATTTAGACATTTAATAATCTATTTGACAAGACGGTAATAATTTTTTCCACCTGAAATGACTCACCTGTGTATTGCCATTAGTTATTGCTATTTTCTATTTTATGTACAAGTGTCTACGAGAATTGTCTTTGTACAAAATCACCTTCTAACGTGCTGTGGTGTTGTGTGTTGCAGTCCCTGAACAGCACCCGGCGCATGCTCACACTATGCGAGGAGGTGCGTTACAGCCAGCGTTCGAGGCGCAGCGACGTCTTGGCGGCGCCAGCTCCAGTCCTAGCCCTAGCTTAAGACCCCGCCCAAGCCTAACCCCAAGCCCAAGCCCAAGCCCGAGCCCGAGCCCAAGCCCAAGCCAAGTCCAAGTCCCAGCTCACGTCCAAGCCCAAGTCCAAGTCCAAGCCCAAACACAAGCACAAGACCCAGCCCGAGCCCAAGCCCGAGCCCCAGTCCCAGCCCCGTTTCAAGCCCCAGCCCAATACTTAGTCCAATCCCAAACCCATGCTCAAGCTCCATCCCAAGCCCAAGCTCAAGCCCAATCCCAAGCCCAAGCCCAAACCCCAGCGCAATCTCCAGCCCCAGTCCAAGCTCCCCCCACGCCCACCCCCTACGTGCGCCCACGTCCTCTGCGATTCCGTGTGATGTGGCGCCGCTCGCATCTCTATATACCTGCAGACCGCATAGTGCCATGTTAAGAGGTCGGCCTCGTTGGAAAATCTTTAGTCTCTCGATTCAAATATTCATCTCTTTCACACATTACTATGGATGGAGAAAAGTGTCGAAGTTTATGCATTATAGGAACATTTATAAGAACTTCACATGTTTCCGTTTTCAATGGAATTACTTTAATGATCTCCAATATCAGTAGCAAAAGTTAAAATGTAATAACTTTAAAGTGGTGAATGAATAACACGTAAAATATTTGTTTAATTATCTAAATTTACGAAATATTACAAAATCTTTGTTTGAACCAACATTACTTCTAAACTCCCAGTAGCGTTCTCCTAGGATGAACACGCCGTCTCTCGAGATGAACATTCATCACACTATCGGAACCCATCCATACACTTATGGTCATAGCAGTTGACGTGAAAAACTTCATCAATAAACCAATCAATCAATTAAACTTTTTAATTTATATACCACTGAAAGACAATAAGATAAATTACTTTTTCAAGTAAACTACTAGCATACATACATATGAAGAAAGAAAATAAAATACTGAAAACCAAAACATTACAAACACTAAATAGCCAAAGCCTTACAAAATTGAACTTAAGTATTTTCGTAATAACTCATAACACAGGCATAATGCAAAGTTTGCCGGGAGACTAAAGGTTATCAAAGCACACGGCCATCGTCTGTTTCTTTTCCATGGCTTTTTGTCTCGTATATAGACATCAGAGTGCGCCGTTTAGGAATCGTCGCTAGGAATCCTGTTACTAATCTCTCCCCTGGCTTTACAGCTATTCATCTCAAAGAATCTGCACATTCGTAGCTCAAAACCCCCTACAATCACGCCACTTCATTCGCTGCCTTTAGTAGAGTTGATAAAACTCCAGCGCGCTTTGCATCATATTTTTTATCAGATCTAGCGTATGACCCCTTAAAACGTTTCTATTAACTTTTGCATCGTAATAGTGCCACTTTTTTGGCAGATACTTTGCTTGATTTATAAAATTTTAGGCATGTGGAACATTCAATTAGAAATTATTTGAAATATACCTTATTTCTACATTAATGAAGTAGTTAATTAGGTTCATTCTAAAATTGTTGTGCCACGTTTGTAGTGTCACACTTAAACTGAATTCCCTTATTTGTCCTTTATAATCCAGTAAATTTTAAATGTTCTCATATTTTCAGATAGTTCTAAGAGAGAGAGAGAGAGAGAGAGTGAGAAAATGGGAGTGAGAGTGAGAGTGAGAGTGAGAGTGAGGGTCAGTAAAGCGAGAAAGAAAAAGAGAGTAAAGAAGGGAAGGTGGCCAAGAAGAAAATTGAGGCTCAGGGACCAATGGTAAACAAATATAGTTGAGACGACGTTAAGGGGAACAGGGAGCCAGTTCATCCGAAGAGTTCGATCCCGATTCCTCTTTGTTGGTCATACAAAAATACAGAACAATGTTGAAGGAAAGTGTGGAAGTCAATTCGCCCAGATTTGAATATTTTTCTTGAAAAACAGTCACTATTCAAAATAGTGGGTTTATAAAAATGACTCTACCATTTCTTTAAATTTTGTGGTTTTGTTAAGTTGCAGTTTACATTTTTTCAATTCTTATCAGATCCATATCAAATCTATTCTGCGATGATAAATGTATTAAGTTTATAGATTAATATTAATAATACTAGTGGCCTGCACTGTAACATGAAAACAGCAACTCCGTCACGGCGGGCTGCCACTGCGCGTCCCATGAGGTCAACTGGGCCATGAGCAGTGACGCAATGAGTATGAGTAATCAGTCGGTATGCACAGGATGATAATTCAGTAATATAGTCAAATATTGCATTTTTCACTCATTATCAAAACTGCTTTATTGTATTTTAATTGGTCTCGAGTTTCTGGGTATCTAACAAAGTCGTAGAGTACTCACAGACGGTTGGAATCTGCATAATTTTGTTTCAATTTCTGGGCGCATTGGAAATTAGTAACATAAATATTCACTGAATTATTATCATTATTTTCGGCATTTTAGAACGTGTACCTCTTCTAAACTTACAAAATAACTAGAGCTGGACCAACGACTAAACGTTTTCTTTTGTATGACTCAATGAGAGGAATGGTTCACGAAATAATCTACAGCCAATAACTCCATATTTACCTGAAAATAATGTCAAGGTAAATTAAAACGATTGTTTCTTTCCGCACTGTAATTTTACAAATATTGTCTCTTTTAGAGAATGTTAATAGTTAAATTTGTGTGAATAGATAAAATTTCTGGTAAAATTCGATTTCCTAGAACAAAATATCGCCATCTTAATAATTGAAAAAGGTAAAAAGATATGTTATATTTTAAAAATTGTGAATTTTTGAAATCTAATGATACTAATTTTTGCAATAGTTTTTTTGTTCATTGAAATAGTGGTGTTAATTGGATTAAACTCCATATAGTTTCTTTCTTGCATCAAATGGACCATTTCACCGGCGTCTCGCCATGCCCTGAGAAGCAAACGTTTCTCCTTACGTTATAAAGTTAAACTTTCTTCTTTTAAAATTCTCCTCTAAAGAAACAACTCAATTTTATATTGCTTCTCACAAAGAACGATCGAAGCTGGAGTTGAAACTAATGTTCAATTCTCTTTTATTACTAATACAAATTGAAATAGTGTTCCTCATTTCTAAGATCGTTCACCTTCTGCCCCGGCCGCACCGGCCCTTTCTGGAACTAAACTTCCACGTCGATTGCCCTCGGCTCCCCTGTAATGCCGCGTCGAGGGTTGATGGCTACGGATGGACGGAAAAAGTGTGATGTTCGGAGTAAATAATGGTAACTGTTGCACAGTTCGCAGTAAATGCCATGTGGTGTTTTTACATATAAAGCAAACGCCATCACGTAGATGTAATTTTTTGCCCCTCTTGAAATATACGTAAACTGAGCTTCTCCCTCTTCTTCCTAAATGCCTGTAATATAAATTTCGACCAAAACAATAGATACCATAATTTCAAATCGAACGCATCAAATGCCAGATAAGCCCTAGGCGTGAAGTCGCTCGGGAAGCCGAGAGCAATGAGGTGACTCCGGCCACCGAAGCCCGCTACTTGAGACGCCCTCCTCCTCACCGGGCCGGACCGGATCGGAAAGGAATGAACCGGACGGATCGTACCGGGATCGGACCAGATCGACCCGGCCCGGCCCGCGCCGGCCCGGCCCGGCCCTGACCTGACCGGACCTGACCGGACCGGACCGGAACCGGACCGCGACCGCCGACTCGAGACGGACCGGGACCGGACCGGACCGGACGGGACCGGACCGGACCCCGGACCGGACCTGACCTGACCGGACCTGACCTCCCTGACCTGACCTGACTGACCTGACCTGACCTGACCTGACTGAACCGGACCGGACCGGACCGGACGCGGGCGGACCGGACCGGACCGACCGGACCGGACCGGACGCGGAACGTCGCCGCGGACGTCCGACCGTCCCGGACCGTCCCGGACCGTCCCGGACCGGACCGGACTGGAACGAACGAACCGACCTGACTGGGCAGAACCGAACCGTGTTGGGTCGCCCACGCAGGGCCGAAGGCCGGGACGGGAGGGCCGAAGGCGAAGCGCGGGCGACCGCGCGTGACGCATTCCTGTGGGCGCAGCAGGCCCCGCTTCCGCCGCCCGGCGCGCCGCCGCGCCCCCGCCGCCCCACCGCGCCTCGCACCTCCGCCCCGCCTCCTTGAGGCAGGTAAAGACGCTCCCCGCGCCCCTCGGCGCCGCTGGCGGACGGCGCGCTTGGCTCGCGCCTCTGTCGCAGGAGGATGAACCGCGCCGCCGCCCGCCACCCTACGGACTGCTCCGACCAAAACGCATTAAGATACCCACCCAACAATACAAACTGGAAGATGATCTTTCAAAAATGCGCGGGGACTTTTTAGTAACGGCCTCTTTAATAGTTCAAAGATTTTTTTACAACCAGAAAGTTTGAAAGGGTTGGTTCCATGATTAATTTCAATATCAGACTTCAGTGAAGTTTAATTAAAATAATAAATTAAAAATTACATGTTTTTAAAAGAAGATCATCTTTCAAAGACACAATCATTCGAAACTAATTCAACATAAATAATTATGAACAATAATAATATCTTAAAAGAAACAAACAGCGTGTTTGCTTAAAAGAACAATAAAATATAATTCAGCTGATAGATTCATATTTAAATGACAACAAAAGCAAATAATAATAATATTATTAAGCTATTGTGTCCTAATGAATAAGATACGAAAACATAAGTTCCCTTATAAGTATAGTGATTAGAGAATTTAAACAAAGAAGGACAAACACTACACATTTTAGTCGGCGGAGATATGTTGGCATTGCACTCTAGGCGCCGGCCATATGTCTATCTGCGCATCAACGCACTTTTCGCGTGTAACGTTTCTCGTGACAAAAACATGTGAAAGCGCAAGCTTTGTTATTACTAAAAGTTACAAAATGTCATTCATTCAACCTTGTTCGCAAGAATATATTCTTGTAACGGTGACGTTTACACGGAGAGAGTTTTTCTCTCCTAACTTT